AAATGTTAGAAAAGAGACATTTAGATTAATATAAGAAAGAAGAAACTTAAATAGCGTAATATTCTTCTTTAAAGTATATCTTCACTATTAGAGTATTAGTTAATAAAAATTAAGTATTATATAGCTATTAATTACATTTTAAGCGATATAGAAATTACTTTATATACGATATTTAGTCTTATATAAACTACTACTATCTAGAATATACTTTATAGAAATATTAATTTATATATCTCTCTATAGAGTACTTTAGATTCTATCTAGAAGCTTATCGATATTTCGAAGCTAAAAGTCTTTATCGCTATTATGATCTATATAGAAATCTTTTATTTTCCTATTATTTATAATTATTAAAGAATTAATAGAATTACTTCGATGACTTTATTAATTACTAGAAATATAACTCGAAATCGCTATATTCTTCTTCGAAAATTCATTTATTACTTAGACTCTATCGAAGAGAACTCTAGAATTATTAAAATAGATAGATATAAATAGCTTATATAGTATAAAAAGCTTTAGCTATTTATAAGTAAGATACGAAGTAATTAAAAAAAGCTTTATATCTTAAATTCTTATATCGTAATTAGTAAATATATAATTAAGAAGACGAGATATATATATTAGTATATATAAAAGAATAAGATAGAATTAAATTAGAAAATCTTAAATTTATATATATAGTTAATTATAAATTCGAGGTTATTACGTCTTTTAGCTAGACTAATTAAGTTAGCTCGCTAGCTCTCTTGAAGCTCCCTTATTAAAAATTTATATATAGAAGTTTTATACTCTAAAATAATTAGCTTTCTACGAATATTATTTCTTTATAATTTCGTAAATTATAGAGCTTAGTATACGCTTTCTAACGCTATAAAAATAATAAAGTTTAATCTACTATTAGTAGATTAAATAAATATTTAAATATAGTAGTTATAGTAGTTATATTAGACGCGTTCGAGATCGAATAATAATTCTTTCATCTATTTATATAATTATTATTCTTTTATTACTCTATTAATTCTATTAATTTCATTAATATAAATATAATCGAAGACTAAAGGTTACTTAACGTTTTAGATATATATATCTCTTTTACCCGCCTCTTAAAGCTAGACTATCTCTCGGCGAATTCGCTATTATTAGTAATCGAGGCCGTAAGCGAGTTTAATAGCTATCTACTACTACTTATAAACGCGTTAAAAGACTCTTAAAAAGAGCTCGAATAAATACGTTCTTCTCTATATACTTCTCTTAAGCTAGCGATAAGTAGATTAAATTAATATTTAAATATTATAGTTACACTAAACGCGTTCGATTTAGATATATATATCTCTTTTACTCGCCTTTTAAAGCCTCTACTAACGTCTCTAGATTATCTCTCGACGAATTCGATTACTACTAATAATCGAGGCCGTAAGCGAGCTTAATAGATATCTACTACTACTTATAAACGCGTTAATATCCTCGCACTTAGTTAAATAAGAGAAGAATCTATAATAGACGAATATAAAGAATATTATAAAGATAGTTATTAGTAGTAATAATATAATAGATTTACTCTTTACGATCTTATATTAATTTACTTAGCTAGTATAAGAGAAGTTAATATAATAGACGAATATAAAGAATATTACGAAGAAATAAAGCGGTAATAAGATTTTTAGTACTAAGAATACGACTTAGCTCTTTAAGATTCCACGTTATATACTCTCTACGATTTTATATTAAATTATTACTTAGTAAACGAAGAATATTACTATAATTTAATCTATTATCTCTACTATATTAAGAAGTAAGAGAAGAAACTATAATAGATAAATACGAAGAATATTACGAAGAAATTAAGCGGTAATAAGATTCTTAGTATTAAGAATACGACTTAGCTCTCTAAGATCTTACGTTATATACTCTCTACGATTTTATATTAAATTATTACTTAGTAAGCGGAGAATATTACTATAATTTAGCTTATTATCTCTACTATATTAAAAAGTAAGAGAAGAAATTATAATAAGTAAATATAAAGAATATTACGAAGAAATTAAGCGGTAAAAAGACTTTTAGTATTAAGAATATAGCTTAGCTCTTTAAGATCTCACGTTATATACTCTCTACGATTCTATATTAAATTATTACTTAGTAAGCGAAGAATATTACTATAACTTAGCTTATTATCTCTATTATATTAAAAAGTAAGAGAAGAAATTATAATAGATAAATGCGGAGAATACTACGAAGAATACTATAGAAAATATTACGGAGAAACTAAGTAATAATAAGACTATTATCGTTAAGAATACGGCTTAGCTCTTTAAGATCCCACGTTATATACTCTCTACGGTTTTATATTAAATTATTACTTCGAAATAATATATATTTAAATAAATTAAAACCGTTCGATGTCTATAGCTATTTTATTATTCGAAAAATTTTACTACGATAGAAGATATTATGGGATTTACACTACTAATTAACACGTTATCTTTATTTCTTTTTAATATTTTAATACTTCTTATTATAAGAATATAATCTTTCTCTATTTTTTATAAGTAATTATTATACCTTCCTAATTAGGCCTTAGCGCGCCTCTCTTCGTATATATATATCTATATACTATATAGATTAAATTAATTTTATAGTAATAAAAGTAGATTAAAAACGTATAGTAAGCGATTAGAGTTCGATTTAACTTAGAGCTAGGGCTAAAATTCGATTTAACTTAGAAAAATCCGACTCTATAAATTTAATTTATAGGCCTTTACTTGTTATTTTATAATGACTTTAGATAAGTTAATTAAGAAGAAATATAAGCTTTTCGCAATTAGCGATAAGGGCTATATCTATAATTATATCTAATATTCTTCTATATAAGATCTTAAGAGTAGATTAAAAGTTAAGAATCTTAAAGATATATTAGTTATAATATTTAAATTAATTACTAATATACTACTTCGTAACTCTATTCTCTTTATAAATAACTATTTCATCGAATTTAAACTAACTATAGCTCTAAAAGATAGAGAAATTATAATATATAAAACTATAAAGCTAAATCGATTAGATTTCTTAAAATTGCTTATAAAGATAAAATAAGTCTTTATAAGAAATATTTTATACGAAGTTCTCGCTATAGTAGTTTAGAATAATATATTAATAATAATCTAGTAAGATAATAATCTCGTTCTAGCTCTAACTACTATATATAATATAAGAGAGATTAATAACTCTATTTTTAAAAAGAGAAAATATCTTAATAAGATTAGTATAAATAGTTATATAGTTCTATTTACTTTTAAAGAGAATAATTAGAATATATAGAAGAAGAAGTTTTAAGTTCTTAAGCTTTTCTATTACTATAATAAGTATATAGAAGAGATTAATCGATTTAATATTTTAATAACTATATATTCTTCTTAGCGAACTTATAATCGAAATTAGATATCTCTACTTTATTAATATTTAAATAAAAGTCTTTTAAATATCTTTAAGCTCTATAAATTAATAGAAATATTTCGTTAGAAGTATTAGAAGTTTCTCGAGCTAATAGTAATAGAATTAATTAAAGAAGATAGAGAAGATATTCGATTTTAGCCGCCTTTCACCTCGATTATTACTCTATCGAAATCACTATAAGATAATTATAATTAATAAGATTTAAATACTATTCGATAATATCTTATATATTATTTTAATATTTAGAAGAGACGTTTTAATAGAGAAATTAGTAATAATAGTAAGAGAGTATTAAAGATTAAAGGGGGATACGCTATATATAAAGTCTCTTTATATCGTAAAGGGAATTATATAGAACGATTCTATAATAGAAAGAATTAAATAGAGTCTATAGAATGAATCTAGATTATTAAGTATAGATTATATAGTAGTTATAGAGTAATAGTATTAATAATAGTAATAGAAATCGCATTTATTACCTTCGAGCGGTTATCGAATAAACTATAGATCGAAAAAAAATCTTAAAATCTTAATAGAAAATAAAAATGTTATTCTAAAATTAAATAATATATAACTATTTTTTTATTAGAACTATTGATAAATTTGATAAGCGAACTTTAATAGACGATATTTGAATTTCTTACGCTTTAATAACTATAAGACTAAATTTAGAAATTCGTTTTTTTACTAAAAGCTCATATTTTATTCTATAACTTAGAAAAAAAATCTTAAAATTTTAATAGAAGATAAAAAAGTTATTCTATATATTAATAATATACATCTATCTTTTTAATAAGAGAGGCGCGAAAGAGTAAGATTTAATAATTACGAATATTAATTTATTTATCTACGATAACTTAATCGATCTATTTAAAGAGTATAGTAAATTCGAATTTATAATTAATTATATATATAAATTTAAGATTTTTAAACTTAGCTTTTTCTTATTCTATTATATATATTAATTAAAATAATAATAATAATATAATATTAATATAAAAATATATTTATATTTATATATAATATTTAAGAATTTAATATAATAGAATAATATAAAAATATATATAATAAAAATAATAAAAATATATAGTTATAATTAGATATTAATAATAATATATTAATATATTAATATATATAATAGAATAAGATAGGGCTAAATTAGAAAACCTTGAATTTATATATGCAGCCAATTATAAATTCGGGGTTATTACGCCTTTTGGCTAGACTAACTAAGTTAGCCCGCTAGCCCTTCCGAGCTCCCTTATCAAAAATCTGTGTGTAGAAGTTTTACACTCTAAAATAACCAGCTCCCTACGGATACTATTTCTTCATAATTTCGTAAATTGTAGAGCTCAGTGTGCGCTTTCCAACGCTGTAAAAATAATGAAGTTTGGCCTACTATTGGTGGATTAAATGGATATTCAAATATGGTAGTCACACCAAACGCGTCCGGGATCGGATAATAATCCTTCCACCTGTTTGTTTGTTTGTTTGTGTAACCATTATTCTTCCACCACTCTACCAATTCTACCAATTCCATCAATATGAACACAATCGTCCTCGGTACCCCTCGCGGAAACGTTACTAAACGCTTCAGGCACGTACACCCCTTTTGCCCGCCTCTTAGAGCCCCTACTGACGCCCCCAGGCCACCCCTCGGCGAATCCGCTACTGCTGGCAATCGAGGCCGCAAGCGAGCCCAACAGCTACCTACTACTGCTCATAGACGCGTTAGAAAGCCCTCAAAAAGAGCCCGAACGGATTCACAGCCATCGTCCTCCCCTACATACTACTCGACCAGCCGCTCAGTCAACACTACCTACCCTATCAGCTCAGTAATCCACTCAATTAGATCGTCAGCCAGTCACTCAGTCATCCACTCAGTCAGCCACTCAGCTAGCCACTCAGTCTGATACTCTATAAGAGGAGGAGCAAGAGGAGGAAATACAACAGGCAAATGCGGAGAACACTGCGGAGAAACCAAGCGGCAATAAGGCCCCCAGCACCAAGAACACGGCTCAGCTCTCCAAGATCCCACGTTATATGCTCTCCACGGTTCCACATCAAATCATCACTCAGCAAGCGGAGAACACCACTGCAACTTGGCCTGTCATCCCCACTGCATTGATATGGTATATCAATGCAATCACGTCACAAGAGGAGGATCTACTGCGACGATCACAGTCAATTAAGCCTCTGCAGGAGGAACATCGCAAGAGGAGGAACTACAACAGGCAAATGCGGAAAGGAGAACACTGCGGAGAAACCAAGCGGCAATAAGGCCCCCAGCGCCAAGAACACGGCTCAGCTCTCCAAGATCCCACGTCATATGCCTCCACGGTTCCACATCAAATCATCACTCAGCAAGCGGAGAACACCACTGCAACTTAGCCTGTCATCCCCACTACATTAGAGGAGTAAGAGGAGGAACTACAACAGGCAAATGCGGAGAACACTGCGGAGAACACTGCGGAGAACACTATGGAGAATACTGCGGAGAAACCAAGCGACAACAAGGCCACCATCGTCAAGAACACGGCTCAGCTCTCCAAGATCCCACGTCATATCAGTCATTCACTCAGTCAGCCACTCAGCTAGCCACTCAGTCTGATACTCTACAAGAGGAGGAGCAAGAGGAGGAACTACAACAGGCAAATGCGGAGAACACTGCGGAGAAACCAAGCGGCAACAAGGCCACCATCGTCAAGAACACGGCTCAGCTCTCCAAGATCCCACGTCATATGCTCTCCACGGTTCCACATCAAATCATCACTTAGCAAGCGGAGAACACCACTGCAACTTGGCCTGTCATCCCCACTGCATTGATATAGTACATCACTGCGGCCTCTGCAGGAGGAACATCGGACGATGCATATTTGGACGAATTGAAACCGTCCGATGTCTACAGCTATTTCATTATTCGGAAGATTTCACTGCGGCAGGAGATATTGTGGGATTCACACCACTAACTGGCACGTTGTCTCCATTTCTTTCCGGTATTTCGATACTTCTTGCCATAAGGATATGGCCTTTCTCTGTTTTTTGTGGGCAATTATTACGGATCAATCCTCTACACTCGATACACCTTCCTAATTAGGCCTTAGCGCACCTCTCTCCGCACATATGTGCCTGTATACCACATAGATTAAATTAATTTTATAGTGGTGGAAGTAGGTCAAAAACGTACAGCAAGCGATTAGAGTTCGATTTGACTTAGGGCTAGGGCTAAAATTCGATTTAACTTAGAAAAATCCAACTTCATGAATTTAATTCATAGGCCTTTACTTATATAATAGAATAAAATAGAGTTAAGCTATAAAATCTTAAATTTATATATATAGTTAATTATAAATTTAAATTCGCTATACTCTATAATTAAATTAGCTAAGTTAGCTCGATAATTCTCTTAAGCTTTCTTACTAAAAAAATAGATATATATTATTAATATATAGAATAAGTTTTTTATTTTCTATTAAAGTTTTTAGATTCTTTATAAGTTATAGAATAAAATATAGGCTTTTAAATAAATAAAGAGTTTCTAAATTTAGTCTTATAATTCTTATTACGTAAGAAAATTAAATATCGCTTATTAAAGTTTACTTAATAGTCGAATAACTCTAATTAGATATATAATATTTAATTGTAAAATAACTTTTTTATTTTTTATTAAGTTTATATAGTTTTTTATTTAAATTATAAAACGTAATATAAGCTTTTAGATAAAAAAAGAATTACTAAATTTAGTCTTATAGATATTTATTACGATTTTAATAATCTTATAATCTTACTTATATTATAGTCTAATTAAACTTAGCGTATTAAGATCTTTTAATCTTTCTATCTTATTATAAACTCTATTTATTTATAATAATTCTATGTAGATAATATTCTCTTTATACTATAATATAAAGTTATTATATAAATTATTAAGTCTCTAATATAATATTATCTATTCCTCTTTTAAAGCGATAGTAATTTATTTATTTATTATATTAAATATATAATTAAGAAGAAAGTATATTATTAAGAAGTTAGTAGTTATAGCTAAAGGAGCTTACTACTCGAAAGATTATTTAAAAGAAAATCTTTTATTTATATAAAGACTAATTTAACTAGATTAAATAAGAATCTAAAGAAAATAAATATCTTTAATATATTAAAAGAAATAAATTCTCTTTATATATCTACTAGTTTAATATTAGCTATATATCTCTTAATCTTAAATTTAGATAATATTTAAAGTTAAATCGTTATAAGTAAGTTATAAATATATTATTATTTAGAAGAACTTAAAAACTTCGATAAGAAGATTTTAAATATTAGTAAAGTTAAATCGTCTATATAATATAAGAGAAAGCGTTCTATCTCTAGAAGATATATTATTAAATCTAGTTTAATTTATATCGAAGTATAATTTATAAATATTATCGAAGAAGAGTTAATTATAATTTTTATATTTATTATTAACTTATAGAATTTTATAAAAAGCGCTATTAATACTCTTAATATTTAATATAATAGATTAAAGACTTTAATAGAGAGCTTTTAAATTACTAATCGTAATATTAAGATACTTTAATAATAAAATAAAGAATTTAATTAGAATATTACTTATCTAAGATAAAGATATTAGTAATTATTATTTAGCTAAATAATAATAATAACTAATTATCTTATAAGCGAGAAATTAATAATAGACTTCGAGGTTTATATAATAGATATCGTATTAATATTATAAAATTTATTAAAGTAAATAAGAAATTTAAATAAGACTTAAAGTGTAAAGAGTAATAGCTAAAGAAGTAATAATCTTATATATTAACTAATTTAAAAAACTTTAATAAGAAAGATATAGAGATTATATCTCGTTAGCTAAGTATTCTTATTTATAATATCTATTAAAACTTATATTATATCTTTATTATAAATCGCGTAGAGAGTATAGAATTAAATAAATAATCTCGACGTCTTAAATTTCTATAATATTAATAATCGAAATAAGTAGAATAGTTAATATTAATATCTTAAGGGAAATTTAGATAAAGCGTTATAATCTTTTTTATTAAACTTAAGAAAATTAATTATATATTAAATTATTATAAGTTTATTATATATAATATTATTAAAATAAGAGTAAATAAGAATATCTTAGATTTATATTAAATTATCTAAGAAATAATTAATAAATTAGATAATATATTTAAAATATATAATAAGATTATTAAATCGAATATTAAGATATTTAATTCTAAATTTAATATAAGAGTAATAGATAAGAAGAAATCGTTTAAGAACTTCTACGTACGATTCTCTATAGCTATTACTCTCTTAAAATTTACTAAAATTTATAAGATATTTAATTTAAAACAATTAATCTCTATATATCTAAGATATCAAATTTTAGAATAATCTTTTAATATCTTTTAAGAATTAATTATTTTTTTATAAGTATTAGATATAGATCTTTAGGCTATTAATAATATATTAAATCTAAAAAGTAAGAAAGAAATTAATAAAATTAATAAGAACTTTACCCCCTCGAATAATTAGCGTAATACTTTCTTTACTAAAAGAAATAATAATATTACTATCGAAAATTTCTATATATAAAAATATAAGTATTTAAATTATTAATAAATAGAATTTAAAAAGAAGATAGATATTTTAAGTGTTTAAAGATTAAATATTATTTTAGTAATAATAGTATTTTATATAAGAATATAGATTTATTAATAAACGAATAAGTTAATATAATTCTAAAAGCCGTCGACGTTAAAAAGAATATCTCTATCGAATTATTATAAGAATTGAAAAATGAAATGTTTTTAATTAAGTTGCCGCTAAGAATCTAGAAGTTTTATATATAAGAATTAAAGAGTTAGAAAGAGTTATGGCGATACTAAAAATAACTTTAAGAATTAAAACTATTAGATATAGAAATATAAGTTAATAAGAAAGACTTATTATTACTATATAAATTTAACGAGTTAAAATCTAGAAATTAAATCTATAACTATTTTATTTAATTAGAGCTATCGAGTAAATTTAATAAGCGATCTTTAATAAGCGATTTTTAATAAGCGATATTTAAATTCTATATCTTTAAAGAATTATAGAATTAAATTTCGAGATTCTTCTATTTTTAAAAAGCGTAATCTATAGACTATAACTTAAAAAAAAATTCTTAGAGTATTATTAGAAAATAAAAAAGTTATTCTAAAATTAAATAATATATATCTATTTTTATATTAGAGCTATTAATAAACTTAGTAAGCGAAATTTAATAAGCGAAATTTAAATTTGTTATACTTTAATAATTATAAGATTAAATTTAAGAATTCTTTTTTTATCTAAAAGCTTAACTTTTATTCTATATGAAAATCTAAAATTTAAAGATTTTAATAGAAAATAAAAAGTTTATTCTATATATATATAACGTATATCTATTTTTTAATAAGAAGGCGTAAGAGAGCTAGCGAGCTAATTTAGTCGATCTAATTAAAGATTATAGTAAACTCGAATTTATAATTAACTATATATATAAATTTGAATTTTTTTTAAATTAACTCTATTTTATTCTTTTAGAATTAACTACTAATTATAATATTAATAAAAACTTTAGAAATTAAAGCTATTAGATATAGAGATACTTATTAATAAAAAAGATATATTATTATTTTATAATTTTAATTATAATATTAATTATTAATTTAAAAATTAAATCTATCGAATATAGAAATATAATTTTTAATTTAATATAGATTTTAGAATAAGAAGCTTCTTTTATTAAAGTAATAGTATTTTTATAAATATATATTTAAATTTAAATCGATTTAAAAAGTTTTATTTTATAAATAAAAAATATAAAAAGTTAATATATTAAATATAATAGTTAAATATTATTACTTAAGCGTAATAAATAAAATAATAATTAAAATATCTTACTCTTAATTTAGAATAGATTTTCTTTTATTTATTTATTATTTATATTCTTTTTATAAAAACTATATCTAGACTTTAATAATATTATATTATTATTTAGAAGTAAAGATCTATTAATTAAATTTATAATTAATTTTTTTAATTAGAGCTATCGAGTAAATAGATAAGTAATCTTTAATAAGCGAACTTTAATAAGCGATATTTGAATTCCTTACGCTTAAATAATTATAAGATTAAATTTAAGAAAGAAAAGAATTCTAAGAGCTTATATTTCGTTCTATAATAAAAAAAAAACCTTAAAATTTTAATATAAGATTAAAAAGTTATTCTAAAATTAA